TTCAGCATAAAATTTCCAAGTAAAAACATGTAATTATAGTATTTTGGCACTTGTGTATAAAGTTAAAATCATAAATAATATTCAACGTTAAACTGGTACACAGTTAAAAACATTTTATTTAGGCCTATCTATGGCCTTCAAAAAGTTGACTATACATGTTTCGACGTTGTAGCTTTTTGAAGGCCATAGATAGGCCTAAATAAAATGTTTTTAACTGTGTACCAGTTTAACGTTGAATATTATTTATGATTTTAAAAACATGTAGTTGCAAAGTATTTAAGTTACAATCACATAACATTAGATTTTACCTTAACTTTATGCATTTCTTACATTGTTTTCAACATTATCTCACCGCATTTTGCTGACTTGTTAAAGTTAAGAACAGGTATAGGATAGTTCACATGTTATACATACTTCAAATTGGAAATCCGTACTGTGCCATAACAAGGGGTATAACTGTAATCATTGTTAATCTTACTGTGATGTAAAAACTCACTAAAATAACTTCCGAGTTTTTTATATGTTTCATATAAGGGCTAATAAGCTCGTAAATACTACTGCTGCGTTGTAAGGCAGTTTCTTGAAACCCAATGTTTAAAAATAACTGCAAAATTTTATTACTATCCCATAATAATAATAATGATGCAGTCTTTTATGTCTTCCTGCGGGACGAAAAGAGTTTGGTGACTCAATTTGATCATTTCTCTAACACAGGAACTTCCACGTGTGGAATGAAGTTTGGATGGAACGTCCTGACTTGGAACCTGGTGGATACGGTGGTTGGCAAGCTATTGATGCAACACCTCAAGAAGAATCAGATGGTAGGTTTGCAAAAGTGATCGTAAAATACGTGTTTGGAGATATAATACGCAAGTAAACAAAAGTCTTTATATATATATTACGCTATTAAGTCAGTCTTTTTTGGATGAGCCACGAGACAACTACGTCACATTTGTGAAATATTGTTATATATGTCCTTCAAATATATTTCAAGATTTGTTAGTCCTCAAAATTATTAATTTGATCCCAATTTATTTCTCTGTTACTTCCCTTACTGTTCGTGACAGATTGTTATTACCGGCTAATGCAGAAACTGGTGGATTTATATGGTTACTTGTCCGCTTTTAAATATTGTGTTTAAAAAGTTAGGGACAATGTGTTAGTATGATAAGATACTTATTTAATGTTAATAATATATCAAATTGTTATTTTTAACGTTTATGTTATTTTTTGTTTTATTTCTGTGCGATCAAGTTTTATATACGTGTATAAAGTACAAATTGGATTGAAATGCTATTACAAACATTGCTAATGGAATCTGTTTATGATCGTTTGGTGTCCTATCTTCTTTTCACAAGACAGTTAGTTATTAAGGTTCTTGTGTTCCCACTAGGAGCATTCAGGTGCGGCCCTTCCAGTGTGGTGGCTATCAAACGTGGCGAGGTCCAGAAACCGTACGACACAAGTTTTCTGTTCTCTGAAGTCAACGCTGATAAAGTTTATTGGAGGTACCGTGGGCCCAGTCAGCCGTTGAAGCTCATCAACAAGAAAACTGACATGTAAGCCCCTATTGCTTCGCAATGGAATCAGCTATGAGTGTATTGCACGAATGGAAAAAATTGCTTCTATTTTGATATTTTGAACAAATGAATCTATGTAATTGTACTACTTTCTAATAAAACTTAATTTTGTTGGTAAGATGTCTCTGAACTTATCTACTGAAAAATCGACAAAAAGAAAGTTGGCTATTTCTGTTTTTGTTTGTTTCTTTCATGAAAGTGTGAGCAACAAATATATCGCAATGATAGTATTGTCGTATCGATTTTTTAAGGTCTTCTGGGTTCTTTATAACGCCCCTAATGTGTAAATTTAACGAAATTACTCGCAAGTTTATCAACAGATGAAGATATAAATACCGTGATTTTTCTTAGAAAACGATTACTTGGCATGTCGGAAATTTCACAAGAACCCCTGGTAATTTGTTAGTCGTGAAGAAGTTTACATGATACCTTTTGTAAATTACAACAACAAAACAATATTCACAACTTGTAAATTAATATGTAATTTTGATAAAATTGGACATGGTTAAAAACAAACACTAACACAAGCCATAAAAGTTTCAACGGTTTTTAACATTGATGCCAACAATATCAGGAGTAACATATTAGCAAGAAAATCATTAAAAATTAATTACAAAACAAATTATGTATTTTTTAAATGACGTTAGTATAGGGGGACATCAGGATGTAGAATAATAGAAGACTTCATAGTTGAAGTCTAACAGTGCTTCATTTATTGTTCTATGAGTCTCTCTTGACTTATTGCAAGTAACAAGTTTTGGTTTGTTTGTTAAGCACAAAGCTATACAATAGGCTATCTGTGTTGTGCCCACCACGGGGATCGAAACTTGTTTTTTTTTTTTGTTGTGTGTGTTATAAGAGTTCGCACTTCCCATTGAGCCACTGTGGAGGGCATATAACTTTGATATAATAAAGGTCTATTCTATATAACTCGTTGATCTTCGAAAACTGGTAAAGGGGAACGGGGATGTTAATTGACGACCTGTTTCCCGTATGTAGAAAGGAGATGCAATTGAAGCTAAAAAGTTATTACGTGCATTCAAGTGTTGGTACCTCGGAATATCTTTCCTAAATCACGTGAATAGTTTCTGACTTGATTTTATAATGATATTAATGTTTATAATATCTTCTGTTTACTATCAGTCTTGTCCCAATCTCGTCAATAGCAGTTGAAACAAACAAAATAGAGGCAATGCAGTAATAAATGGATTTAAAATTAAGATCACCACTAGTTGTAAACAAATTCTGTTTACTAAATGTTTAGAGTACTCACTAGGTAATGTAAGTGTAATAACTTTTAATGAACTGGATTTCTTGCTTAAGACTTTGTGTGTCAGTACATGTAGCTTGGCGTTAAATAAGACAGTTTTAATGATAGCTAGATTATGGGCAATACAGTGGGCTGATTTTCAGTGAACATTGATTGATTGGTTGTAATTAAGCACT